TCTCTCTCTTATCAGTTGTCATATTCACCAGAATCGAAGTTTGCCTAGTGTTTTGATAAGCTAATTGGCAAAATGGAAAAGTGTACTTGTACACTGATTAGCCAATCTAGAATGTCTCTCGCAGCGAGAGAGAGAGAGAGAGAGAGAGAGAGAGAGAGAGAGTCGCGCTAATCAAAACATGAGATCATTAGCGAGTTAACAAACGCGAGCTGAATGTGTTTGTTTTCTTTACATACCGTTGGTGCTATAAAAACAATACAGATGAAAAATATCTTGTTATGCGCAAATGGTGTTGATGTGTTTAAAAAGATGAGGTAAAGATGGTCAAAGAGTTGCTGTTAGATGATCCAAGCTGGATCACTAAAATACGGACAGTAATTTAAAACACATAAAAATAAATGCAACTTTGAAAAAATTCAAAAACATTTTTTGACAGTCACTGCAGCCATCTACCGTCAAAAAGTGACACCAGCTGCAAATCGTGGCTGCGCTGTGACTATATCGACTGCAGTAGCAGTACCCAAGGCACGCTTTTCTCGGCGAAGAAGCTTCCGCTGTGACAACAGCACTGATCTTCCTTTTGCTTGCAAACCTCAAGCTAAAACGCTCATTTGGCTCTGTTTCCGTAAGTGCACCTCCTTTTCTCCCCTTTCTCGGGCCCCTTTCGCCTGATCCTCGGTTGCCAGATAGCTCAGAATATTATGAGCTCTCATTTGAGCTATTGCTCAGCCCGCTGCCTGTTAAACTGGCATCGTAGCCGCATTGTTTGTCTGCCAACACGTGGTTAACTCTTGTGTTCCCCCTTTTCAGGTTAACTAACCGTTACTACTAAAAGTTAACACCAAGATGTCGGGCGGACTTGCTGGATTGCAACTTACCGAAGACGATGTGACCAAGTTCCTGGCTAGTGGAACCCACCTGGGCACTAACAACCTGGACTTCCAGATGGAGACCTATGTGCACAAGCGCCGAAATGACGGTATTCTTTTCTCGATTTTTGGTCCTTTTGATTTTGTTTCTAACTCATCTGTTTATCACCCTGTTTAGGTGTGCACATCATCAACATCCGCAAGACCTGGGAGAAGATCTTGCTCGCTGCGCGTGCCATCGTGGCCATTGAGAACCCGGCTGACATCTTCGTCATCTCCAGCCGTCCTTTTGGCCAACGTGCGGTGCTCAAGTTCGCTTCGGCCACCAAGGCCACTCCCATCGCTGGCCGATTCACTCCTGGTACCTTCACTAACCAGAGCCGAAGCGAGTCCTTCCGCGAGCCTCGCCTGCTGATCGTCTGCGACCCACGCACCGACCACCAGCCCATCACCGAGGCCTCGTACGTGAACATCCCGGTGATTGCGCTGTGCAACACCGACTCGCCGCTGCGCTACGTCGATGTGGCCATCCCCTGCAACAACAAGGGCATCCACTCCATCGGTCTGATGCTCTGGATGCTGGCCCGTGAGGTGCTTCGCATGCGCGGAGCCCTCTCCCGCACCACTCCCTGGGAGGTCATGGTGGACATGTACTTTTACCGCGAGGCCGAGGAGCAGGAGAAGGAAGAACAGGTGGCCCTCACCGAGGCTCGCCCGAGCAAGCCCGAGGAGGAGGTGACTGACGCTCCGGTGGTTGGCTTCAGCGAGGCAGTTGGCGCCGCTCCCGAGGAGGACTGGAACGCCCAGGTGGCCGAAGAGTGGACTGCCCAGCCGGTCGCCCCCGGTGGCATGACCGAGGACTGGGGCGCTGCCACCCAGGACTGGACCTCTGCGGCCTAAACTTTCCTCTTTTTATTTTGCTATCAAAATTTCCAGAGAAAACATTTTCAAAATGAATAAAATCTGATTTGAAAAATATGCAAATGGCCCGATCATTTCAGACGGATAAAATTGTGAGAGTCTGCAAATATGGCTTTCACGAAGTGTGTGCTCAGAGAGAGAGAGAGAGAGAAAGAGAGGAAAGAGAAATGGTCAGCTATGCTCGCTCCCTTCAGTTCGATTTGGGTTCAATTGCTGCTTACTGTGGTAGTAATGTGCAGGTGCAGTCATCACTTGCTTGGCTTTGGGTGGGTCAATCAATCGTCTGTGGGTAATGAGCAATCCCTATCGTAGCCAGAGCTGGCTGGCTGGCTGGCCGCATCATACTCACTTCGGGGCAATGCACCCGCGTCCACGTGTGATGATCCGAAGATTTGAAGATGAATTTGCCGATTTGATTTCGATCAGCACAGCTAAAGATAGTGACCAATGCAGAGAAGGTGATCAGCCAGAACAGAGCTCACCGATGATCAGAGACATTCGCACAGACACACAGGCAGGCAGATTTGTATCGACTGATTGCTCTGCTGCTTCTGCTGTTGATGTTGATGCTGATTGATGGTCACTGGACAAACCAAAGCAGCATTGTGCTGCTGCTGCAGTCACTGCAGAGGATTAGCACACTGTGGCAAGGAGTCGCAGAAAGAGTGGCATTTGTTCAACATCACACAGGGAATTTGCATTGTAGTGAGTTGCTGATCAACAAGTGTGGCCAGTTTCTACATTGACAGTAGAAAAGAGAAGGGAAAAGCCTAAAATGAGGTGGCCTACTGCGACCGCTAATTGCAGCTTTGAGCTCACGTGAGTAAGTAAGTAAGTGACTGGGCATTTATTTTACCCGATTAGACTGACTGCTGAACAAAGATGACAATTCTTTCATCTTTCTTCCTCCTAATCTTCAATGCAGTTGCAGGTTGAGTGAAAAATTGATTACTAAAAGTCGCTTTGANTTTACCCGATTAGACTGACTGCTGAACAAAGATGACAATTCTTTCATCTTTCTTCCTCCTAATCTTCAATGCAGTTGCAGGTTGAGTGAAAAATTGATTACTAAAAGTCGCTTTGAAAAAGATTCATGATGATAACAGAAAACCAGAGTGGTGACAGAAAGCAATACAAACGTTCTGTCGTTTCCAGGTGGTGATTAATTGTCAACTCTAACAAAGCGTCCCTGTGCGGCACCACCTTAACTCTTTGGCGATTAATACCTCGTTGTCACCTGACTGAAATGGCCAAAAAAAGAGACCACAAAATGTAGCACATTTCCGCTCATCTTGATCACGAGATCTTCTTCCCTTCACTTCTCTCTACTTTGCAACTACTTTGCATTCGTTTTTGTCGTCAAGAAGTGTTGACGAATTGGCCGGCTGTGAAGATTAGTGCCTGAGTGAACTGCAATGAATAAGTCAGTGAGCACTATCATCGTCATCCCACCAGCAGTGCCAGCACTGACTAACGAGTTCAGCTAAGCTCAGTGGCCAAAGATGTCTGTGTCTACGGAGTGTGTGGTTAATACTGCAGATTATCAGTGCAGTCATTTGTTCTGGATCACCCAGACGCAGACACAGACGCTTCACTTTGTTTGCATGACCATGCGCATTTCCTCGTGGTGAGCAGCAGCAGCATCTCATCGGTCAGCATCAGCAGCAGCAGCAGCAAGACACAGCAATAGTCGATGTTCACTCATAATTAGATGGACGACTTATTACTACAGCGAACAGAACAGAACACAGAGTCGCTGCTGTTTGAAACTCACTGCGGGAAGAACACACACAGATTTGAATTACTACCGATTGCTGTGGACGGTGTTCTGTTTCACTTCGCCACGAGACAGTGCACTTCTCAGTGGCCAATCTTCTCTTTTTTCGGTCTCTCTTTTATGCACTACAAACGACGATTGATTGCCTTTCAGTGCACACAGCAAGCTCTGCTTCCGAAGCACGCATTTTTCCTCAACTAGATAGGCAAAAAGTATTGTCGTGCCTCTAACTGCCTAATTGGTCCAATCAATGGACGATGATGCCCCCTCCAAGTTTCATGGGTGCTATGTTGCCTTTTTAAACCTTTCCTCCCCCCCTCCTCTCATGTCACCACTACCACACCTCTCAAATGTTTTCCTTTAAGCAGTATAAAAATGTCCGAAACTTTCAGCTACTTTCGTTCACACTGCACCTCTACAGTCACAGGTTGACAGCTGTGAGACACCAGTGGCCGACTAGTGATGCATTGAGAGAGGGAAAACATGTGGCATACACTGCTTTACATTGTCTTCATCAGCGGCATCATACACGAGAAGTGCAATGCATGCATTTGCATTCATTCATCACTCTCACTTTCATCTCAGTCTCCTTCTCTCTCTCTCTCTCTCTCTCTCTCTCTCTCTCTC